TTTTTGAAAGTTATTATTTTGTATTTATCATTATTACACTGCAGACAGTTTGTCCTGACATTATACACAGCAAATAAAGCAAGCTCTGGAAAGACAGCCCTTGCAATTCACACCTTGCGTGGACAAAGCTTGGATGGAGCTGCCACCTTCATAAATGAGATGGACAAACGGCCTGTGGGGCTTTCTCAGGAGAAAGAGGCATCCACTGGGAAAATCTCTCAGTCCTTCCCTTCTCTCTTCTGTCATTCTCCTGTAAAGTCTTTCCTAAAAAGGTCTGTATTTCCAGCCTCAGAATCACAGAATTGAAGAGGTTGGAAGAGACCTCTGGGATCGAGTCTGACCTTTGCCCTAACACCACCGTGCCAACTAGACCATGGCACCAAGTGCCACGTCCAGGCTTTTCTTAAACAAAGCTTGTGCTTGAGCCTCCCCAAGCACAAAGCGGAGGAAGGCAGGCGGATCCACCAAACCAAGGAGACGGCTGTCACCTTGCTCCCCACAACAGGGCAGGCATCGGCACACCCAGCTGCCCCGACAACGCCCTTGCAAATCAAAAGCACGCCTTGACCTTGACTGCGTTTATTAGCAGGATTAGCAAGCAATAGGACTTGCTGTCCCCGGGTCAGTCTCTCCTTCACTTGTGTCTGTTGCTCTGAGGATTTATAACTGAGGAAGCAGAAAGGAAAATCAGCTGGTAACAGTTCAGAAACAGATGTACATTCCTGCACAAAACTCCGACATTAGCGTATCCAATTACTTTGAAACCGTGCTCCGCTCCAACCGTCTTATCCCTAAAACCTCACTTTCCTTGCCTCCTGCCTCTTATCTACGCGCCGCTCGCTCGCCGCTCCTTTGCTTTTGATTATAAACTTGTCACTGCAGGGTGAACGCTTTGGGAAACATCCGCCAGCCGTGTCTGGCCGCTGCTGCGGTACGACACGAGGAGAAGAGGGAAACAAAGCCCACAAAGCAGAAGTGCAAGGCGAAACACGACTGCCTTTGCAAAGACAGCACGTGGAGGATGCACACACCGGATCACATTTAGTGGTTGCTGCACAAGCACCAAGGAATTATTCCCTAAACCACACCGAAGGGGGCAGAGGACAGAAATCAGCTCAGTTAGACCTGACTATGGTAAAGGCCATTCAGTGCTGGATGCAATTTGCAACGGGGACATTTCTGAAAGGAGAAATGATGCTTTTCCCTATATAGCAGTAGGTAGCGAGGAGGAAGGCAGTAAGCAAAACAGCATCTTTCTTCTTTCAGTTTGCTCCAAAAACTTGCATCCCTGGCAGCTCCCCCAACAGAAGGGAGCTGAAGGAGCAGTCCGAGCGCAGTGAAATGCTATTGCCTTTACTGCCAGGGCACCCAACATGTCTCTGCTTCCTACGATGGGCAGAGGGAAGGGTGGCAGGATGCAGAAATCCAAACGTTCTCCTCTACAGAGCAGAGGGGCTGAAGGGTGATTTCTGGTCAAGTTCTGCCGGGGGGGACACAACTGGACCGCAGGCTTCCTACAGAGAATAAGCACTGCCCGCAAAATCCGGTCTGTGTTCATTATTTCCCTCTAACAAGAAATTTTAGGAGCCTGGTAACGGCAGTGGAATAGCAGCAGCATCGTAGTGGATGTCACTTTTAAACAGGGCATGAAGCTTTCACCAAAATTATTTTGAATATCACAGTTTTTGTTTCATAACTTCTTTCCCACCCTGCTGTGGTAGCAGGAAGGATGCATCCACCCCATCCTTCTTTGCCAGCGGTACCTTCATACCATGTGCCTCCCCCACAAACCTCTCAGAACTCCCTCTTCCTTCAGGAGACCCAGATCACATTTCACCCGGCTCCGCACACACGTAGACCGTGCCTTTGGTCTGCTCCAAGGGAAGATATTTGCAGTATTGTCAACACTGTACTTAGCTCTGGCACTAAGTACTGCTAGGGGACTCGGCGGCCGTAAAGAGTACACACATACACAGCAGCTCTGGAGCGATGCTTGTTGGAGCCGGGCTTATAGACTTCATAATTATGACACAGTCATGTTTCACCATAAATTTCCCCTAATGAAGCCTGCCTGATACTAAAAAGCTTTGCACATTTAGAGGTTACGCACAGCAACAGTCCCCTTAGGGAGAAATCCCGCCTCGTTTTGTCGTGCAAATACTCCTTCGGGTTCGTTTGCAGAAGCCAGGCAGGGGGGCCGGGGCTGTTCATTTATTTATTCAATATAGCCACGGTGTGCGGTGGAGCGAGGGGCTGCTCTGCTGTGGGAGCCTGCTCCTGCTCTGCACCATGTAGCCCAGAGAGGCACGGCCAAGAGCACCAGGACCGGTCAGGATGGTGCCATGCGGCCGCATCCTTTTGCCATCGCGGCTCCAGTGTGATGTTCGGGAGCTGCATATCTTCTGCTGCGCCTGTCCACAGCTGCACTTGTGTGTGATGGGTATGGTGGTTATCACAAAGGCAAAAGGCCCAGTTCTCAGCTGGCACAGACCTTTTGAGATACATCCACGCAGTCCTTCCCCAAGACCCCTCTATCCCCAACCCCTGGAAGGATGAAGCCCCAACCCACGGAAACACCTCACTCCCTGGGAAATCAAGTCTTGTCTTTAGAGGTCACAGCAAGGCAAAAAGAAGATGCAGAATAAGTATTAGCACGCATGTTGACAGGGCAGGGGGAGAGGAGAGACAGCAATGAGCAGCTCCACTTGCTCTCGCAAGTTTGGGTCTGCTCCACTTGCTCCTGGTGTTCTCAAACACAACCAAAACGCAAGCCTGGCTCCCTCCCCGAGCAGCCTTTTGCAGGCACCTATAGCACCTTTAGGCAGTGCACTCCAGGTGCTCAGCCCTGCAGCCCAACTGCCCTCCCACGCTCCGCACATCCTTGCAAACCCACAGCGGCTTACCACCATAAACGCGGTGCAAGCACGGAAGAGCTGGTGCCCTTAGCAGGGAACTTGTTTGCTGGGAAAATCGTATTCTTTGCAGCTGGAAAACAGAGGTGCCCGTCCAGTGAAGGCTTCTCTTAATACCTGGACATGATCCCACACATTAAGAAGGAGATTTCTAAATACCTCAAGTACAAATCAAATACCCCTTACAAGGGGTGTTTTGCCCTCCGAGGTGCAGTTTCACATCGGCACCGCTATCGACAGCTGTTTATTTCGCTTACGGGACAGGCAAGGGGCTGTTACTCAGGTTTCCCCAGTATAAAGATGGCTTGCCCTAACTCAGCCAAGGACGGCATCTGTCTTCGGGTCTGCGGGGCTGGTAGTCACCATCCCAGCCCCTTGCACTCATGGACCTCCAGGTCGCAGATGCAGGGCAGTTGCCAACCCTTGGCCCCAAGCCCTTCTGGAAACCTGACTTTGGGGTGCAAGCAGGAGAGGCACCCGTCCTGTCTGACTCGCCGGGGTCTTAAATTGGATTAAAAATCTATTTGCAGAACTGCCTCGCTTTCCGACTTCTGTGCTGCACCTGAAAACCTTTCCTTTTGAAAGCAAACACAGGCTCTCCCCAGGGGCTGCCTGGGGAAGTCTTTCCACTATAAACATTACCTACCAGTAGTGGAGTCAGCCCCAGGCAAGCCAAAATTCCTTCTCCTACCAAGGAACACTTTCCAATCAAACCAGACATTATTTTTTCCATTAATGAGTGTTGATACCTACTGGAAAACTTTTCAGAGAAATCCACTCCAAACTAATTCTTCTGATACAACATCTACATTTTACGAGTTACTTTTGCCTTATTTTTATTATTATTGTTTTATTTTATTTTCCTGCTCCGTATTGAAAACATGATCTTTGCTGCTCAGGAATGCATCTGTTCCTGCAATTTGGGCTGTTACTGAAATCAGAGGTCCAAATCTGATTTTGCTCTGCCTTAGCTCCACGGAAGCAAGTAGAGTTTTCCCACATTTTCCCTGGTGTGATGGAGAGGAAAAATAGATCCGTCGTCTTCTGTTTGATACATCAGAAACACTGGAGCTGCTACCACGATTTTTATGTGCTGAGTTACCACGATTTCAACAGCAGGGTGTTCTAGAGGAAAAGATGTCCTCCTGCTTACCTCGGCTCTCGTTTCCCCAAAAATTCCTATTTAGTATTTAGGTATTGGGGGGGCAAAAAAAGCAAGGAGGAAAAATGGCAGGCAGATGGGTTGCATGGCCAGCATTGCCTCTCTGAGGGGTTTTCTACAAACTGTTAGCTGCTTTCTAGATGCCCCATAATTTGGACTCCATTGAGTTAGTCCAAGAGGGTCTTTCCATGCCCCCCCCCCAAGTAGGGGGACTTGACGAGGCTTACCCCAGCTGCCCCCAAACCTTCATCTTTCCTGCAGCTCAGCATGCCCCAGGGGACTTCTGCCACCCTGAGGTCACCCCATGGGACCGCGAAGGATGTCCTCATCTCTGTAGGGTAGGGGGTTTGAGGAGCAGGGTGCTACAAGGGGCAACAGGGAGTTGAGTTTGCAAGCCCCCCAGCAAAATAAGGGGCATCATTTTGCAAAAGATGGGGCATCTTCTTGGCCGTGCAAGCCCTTGAACCCCAATTTGGGCATGGTACTGCTGCTTCCCAGCCCACGGAGTGGGATCCTCAGCAGTCTGGACTGGGATGCAGCCTGCAAGTGCTCAGCAACGCAGACCAGCACCCCAAAACCCCCATGTTGACAGTGAGGGTTACCCTGAAGGGGAACTGCAAAATTCAGCATCTATAAGGGTGGGGGGTGACCAGCTATCTTTTATTCGAGGTGCATTCCCAAGATTTTAGTTAAGTGTAACATAAAACTGTGAAAGTTTAGCGGGGGAAAAGCTTTCCTCCCACTGACCTGGCCGGCCAATCAGAAGGGAGCCCCGCACCTCCCTCACTTCTGACAACTATTTAGCAACTGAGCTCAGCTAAAGTTTCCAAAAAGTTAGAATAACTTCCTCTCTCCAAGACCTCAATTTTTTGCACAACCCCGGTCCTTGAAATAAGAGCCCTTCAAGCAACCTGGAAAACGTTTGGTCAGCAAAAAAAAAAAAAAAAAAAAAAAAAAAAAAAAAAAAAGAGCCCTCCTGTTTTTCCAAAGGATCTGTCTCAGGAATTTAAAGCACATTTAAGACACACACACACTCACATAACATAAGGAGGGGGGGAAAGTCTCTTCCCCTCCCCTTCTTGCAGAAAGCATGGAAGAAAGCTCCAGTTCTCCTGTTTCCCCTGTGGATAGCTTGGGGACCAGTGAAGAGGAGCTGGAAAGGCAGCCAAAGAGATTTGGCAGGAAGAGAAGATACAGTAAGAAATCCAGCGAAGATGGCAGCCCCAACCCAGGGAAGAGGGGGAAAAAGTCCAGTCCCAGCTCTCAATCTTATGAAGAACTGCAGAGCCAGAGGATCCTGGCCAATGTCAGAGAGAGACAGAGGACTCAGTCGCTCAATGAAGCTTTTGCTGCCTTGAGGAAAATCATCCCCACTTTGCCCTCTGACAAACTCAGTAAAATCCAGACCCTCAAGCTGGCGGCACGGTATATAGACTTCCTCTACCAGGTGCTACAGAGCGACGAGATGGACAGTAAGATGACGAGCTGCAGTTACGTGGCTCACGAGAGGCTGAGTTATGCCTTCTCCGTATGGAGGATGGAGGGAGCGTGGTCCATGTCGGCCTCCCACTAGCCACCGCCCGGGCCAGGCGAGCCCAGCTGCCGAAGGGGTAGGTACCGATTTCTCTTCTCCCGGATGATGCTCCGCGTCCGTCTGGCTGGCTGCAGGATGGGGTGCCCGTGGCTCCTTTTGCCAGTCTGGCTTTGCCACGGGTCTCGGTCCTACCCAGGGAAATGTGGCACAGCTTGGTGGGATGTGGGGATGCTGCCGGGCGAGGGGTTTGGGGACATCGACCCAGAGGTGAGATGGGCAATGTAGATGTGTCTGGCCCCCTCCCGCTCCCCAACGCCTGTGAAAACTCAAAAAAAAAGGAAACTTTGAAACTTCCAGCCAGGCAAAAGCGAGATATGCCTTATTTTTTGAAAAAAAAAACCCACACAAAAAAAAAACCCAGCATGTTTTTGCTCTGCAGGGACGGGGGAGCCGAGAGGGGACTGGTGTTGAGAACTGGCTGATGAGGGACAAGGGGGAACCCATCGCTGCATGAGATTTGCCAGAAAGTACTGCTTTGGGGAAGGGTTTTAAGAGAGGAAAAGGTGATCAGTACAACAGGCTGACAAGGGGATCCGAAACAGCTGCTGCCCCACTCCATGGCTGCCTGCATCCGAAAAATTCAGTGCCGAGCGAGCGGTCCCCAGAGCGGCCGCATCCTCTCCTGGCTGGGGGGGGGGGAACAGGGGGTCCACAGGACCCAAGCGGGTTTCGGTGACGAGTTCACCCCAGGTTGTGTTTCTCTTAAAAGAAACGAGCAGCAGATGTCGGCTGCAAGCCCAGGCTGTGCCCCTTCCCCCTCACACAATAAAAAGAAAACAAAGATAGAAGAAACTTCGCCAAATTTTCGTATTTGTTCGGTTTCCCTTCCCCAAAGTGACGGTAAAGCAAAGGCTAGTGTTAGATGTAGTTTCTTATTTACTCGCACCGCTAAACCCTTCCTCATCATTTTCCATTAGCAGAAAACTGCTTCCTCTTAAGTTGCCTTTGTAATATTTGGGGAGGGAGGAATAAACAGTAAGAAAGGAGAACAAAAAAGGCCCTTAATAACGCCCTCATCTCAAGCTAATTAAGCAGAGCAGCTCTGCGTTGTGTCAGCCAGAGTTTGCATACAACCGGTGGCTCTCTGGGGCTCGGTACATAAAGCAGAACCCGTGAACCCATTTTGTCAAGCGAACACTCAAAAAGGGAAATTTGCTCCCCCCCTTGTAACGTCGCGCGTGATGTAAAATGAAATAATTTCATCATGCAGAGAATCGGCTCCTTAAAGACGAGAAGAAAGTTTATCCCAGCCCATTGGCCAGGCTTTTTTAAAGAGGCAAATCCATCTTTGTTTTAAGCGGCAATAAACAGCCCATTTAAAAAAAAATAATAATCAAAAACCTTGATGCAACCGCAGTACATTGTTTGAAAAAGCCAAAAAGCGCTCAGTCAGGACGTACTAGCGATGTAAAATGCAGACTTTAACCCATTTTAGAAACCACTTCAAGGAAACATTACTCTTGCATCCTGAAACGGTTTGCACTTTGATGCTGCTATTAAGGTTTCCACGAACGCTCTTCTAGGGACCCCTCAAAATATTAGACCGTTCAAAAATTGGGTACTCTGTCCATTGCACAAGCTGTCTGTTGTTTAGTTTTGTTTAAAGAGGTAACACTGCCGTCGTAGGTTTTATGGCTGTTGCTGGCGTAACTATTTTTTGCATGCTGTGCCCTAATTTCAACTATAAAAAGCCAAAGTCGAATAACTTTTTTAAAAGGCTAAACCCTCCGTTTATAAAAGAGAGTGCCTTTTCCCATGCTAATCTGCCTAAAAAAGCTGCAGCAAATAGATTTTTTTTTAAAAAAAAAAAATCCCCACACGCAAAAACCCAGGCTTCTTGTCAAAAACAGATGTAAAATGTCCCGAACACATATTTCTTCAGCAGTTTAGATTGGCTGAATAGTAAAGTGCTGGGCTGGAACAATGCATTTATTCTGTTGTTTCCCAAATGATGTGCTGCCATTAGCCAGTGATGTTTTAAAAACTGTTATCTAATATACAGCCATTCCTCTCTATCACACAGTACTTTAGGAGCAAAACCTGCTTTTTTTTTTAAAAAAAAAACTTAAAAACCGCTGTCAGTTGAATTATTATTAGCATTGCTCCAACAAGGCAGATTTTACATGTAGGTGCTGGGATCATCCCTATCCAAAAGAAATTGCGAGCGACATTTCTGACTGTGCGAAAAACCATGACGTAGAGCCAACCCCAATGCGTTTTCGGTTTGCTTTGGAGTAAATTGGTATTCGGCATCTTTGCCGTAACCCGATTTCCAACATGGTAGTTAGAAGTGGCTCTTTGCTCTGTGTTTGCGTGCCTTATAGAGGAAGGTTGCCTTTCCCCAAACCCCCGGACTTTCCCCCCTTGCTTCTCCTTTCTGTGCCTGTGTGTGCACGCACACGCATGTGGTCAAACTGTTGAAAACGTTGTTGACAAATGGCCTGGTGTGGTGCGGTGTCAAATTCTATCATTTATGGTGACAAAAATTACATCTGCCAGCAAAAAAAAACCCCAAAAAACAAAAAACACAAACATAAAATAGGACAAGATCCTTGAGAAACCCTCTAAAATGGGCAAACTTAGCTGGGTTGGCGACATGGACTTCTGCATCGGTCTGTCCCAGTCAGAAGAGTTTTTAGGCATAACAAGGGAAGAGTTTGTGCAGTCTTGACGGCAAAAAACCCCAAACCCTTAAGAAATAGCTATCTGAATTTGGGATCGTCTCCTGCCCCTCCTAGAGAGTAGCGAACCCTGCAAACCTTGGGTGAGCATCGTTCAGGCTGGGTTGCCGCAGCCATCCTCCCTTTTCCCCAGGTTTTGGGGAGAGATAGGCAAGGAAAGGTTTTTCTCCTTGGAGAAACAGTTGCTCCCCTTCAACTGTAAAAGAAAAAAAAAAAATAATCAGAGGAGCTTTTTGATTAGAAAATTGGAGCCTTGGGAACAGGTAAAATGCCACCTGGCCTCTGTGAATGCCGGCAGGTCATTGCTGCTCGCTCCTCTGGTCGCGAGAGGTTTTCCTGTTCTGCTCCACATAATTACAGACAACTTACTCCGGTAGTTTCAAGAGAAACAGGCGCAGCTTTGCGCTTCAATTACTGCAATAGGATGTTTTTGCAGGCATGCCAAGCTGAGCCTTCCTCCCCCAAATCTCCCCATCCTCATCGCTGGCACCTGTGCCCCTTCCCTTGCATCAAAATGTTCAAGATGCTCTGAACTACAACAACAAAAAATTGCAGGCGAAAAGAAAATATGTTTCATGTTAGTCCATTTAATAGGAAAAATCCTGTCCAACTGGGATGGCAGCAGCACCAGCAAAGCGTAAAGGACGACGTAGCCCTTAACCCCCGAGCCAGTAAGACGGGTCTGCCAGCAACCCCCTTCTTCCCACTTGCTACAGCAGGGCTTGGGATGAGCCCTTTGCCTCCCCTGGGCTGGCACTGCTATAAATAATACCTTCCCCATCTTTTTTGTGCTGGAAAAACTGCATACAACGTGTGCGTGCGATACGCAGCCCTCTTGCCATTGCTGCTTCAGACTTCCAGGGCCGTTCCCAGTATAAAACGCTAGCATCCTATTTCATTTTGTCCTTAAAGCAGCAAACAGATGTTATCTCTGCTGGCCCTGGGAACAACCTCATTCTGTAGTATATGACAGCAGTACAGTTAACTGGGGGTGTTGTGACACTGGAACTAAGCCCTTTTTGTCCCCAAAGCCCTATTTTTATTTTTTTTTAATACGCATCCTTAGAAAAATGTAAATACGCTTCCTTGACAGGAAGGATTGTAAAGTTTGGTATTTACATTAATAGGCTTGTAGTAGGGGGGGTGTGTTTCATCTTAGTGCGTTTAAAAGCCCAGCAAAGTGCATTTTGGTTCTTCTGTTTACGTTCGCGTCTTTTCTTGAGAAAGAATAAATCTGTTACACAGCAGACACCAAATACGCTGCAGTCAGCCAGAAAATGCTCAGGCTCAGAGACCTTTGAAAGAGAGGGTGCAAGGAAAATGCTCCAGAGGAGGAGACAGGCCAAAGACAAATCTGCCATGGGCTAGATGTATATAAACTAATTACTGATCATAAAGAGTTAGAGACGTGCATGGTGGAGGAAAAATGTTGGATCAAAACCGAAGGACCGCTTAGAAGAGCGGCAAAAGTGTGTTATTACTTCATGTGCCGGAGCCAGGGCTGTGGTAAAAGTCCTGTCGGGAGAGATGTGCATTGAAGGGTCATTAAGGGAACAGTCAAGGCATACATTGCAGCTAAGTAGATCTAATTTGTCTCCAAATTAGTCACCCTCAGACCGCTCATCTGTGCAGAGTAGCTCTAATTTTAAGAGCATACAAAGCATCCTCATTAAAACAAAAGGGAAGATCGCAACGCTTCTCCTTTGCGACCTCCCTTCACATTCCTTCCTTCAGCGCCTTTTGGGGTGTATTTCATAGAGTTATAGGTAGCGGTGATAAATTAGCTTTGGAGATCACAGCAGTCTTTTACAGAGCTGGGACAGATCCTGTAACTGTAACCACTGCTGAAATCTCTTTTGGGGACATTTCTTGTCACTCTTTAAAAACCCTAGCAATATAATTATTTTTATAGCTGTAGCTCTCAGAATCATTTCCATGTGGTTCAGCACGACTTTGAAATCTCCAAGCCTGAAATCTCCAGAATTTATGTCTTGCTGTAGAGCCGTAGGAATAGTTTGATGAGGCCACGAACATGGGAGGGAACGCTACCACAACCCCGAGCACAAAGCGAGCTCGGCATGTAATCAGGGAATTACAGATGCTGGTCAGGGAAAACACACATTTCGGGTAGCGTACTCCTGCTCGGCTTCGCAGAAGATTAGGAAGGGGAAAAAAATGCTGGGCCAGATCCTCGGCTGGCTCTGAGGAACTTTGCTGCTCTTCACTGGCTGATGATCCCATCAGACATCTCAGTGGGTTGCTCTGAGTGACTTGGAGAATGCTATACACCATCGCTTATGATTTACTTCTTCGGGAAATTTGGAAGAG